AAATTCAAACATTTCTGTACAAGAAATATGATACATGATGATAAACCTGGATGATTTATTTCTCTTCAGATTCACCAGGACACAAGACTCACCAAACATGTGCCTTTACTCAAAAAGTCACTGGAGCTGTTGGTTTGCAGAGTCAAAGCCATGCTTGTCCTCAACAATTGTAGAGAGGCTTTCTGGCTGGGTACTCTCAAAAACCGAGACTTACAGGTAAGCCTGAAGTTTCGACAATTGGTTATGCGCTCCCAGACCCATTCTTTGTAAGAGCATCAGAAGAAATAGGAGAGGCTACCCAAGCCCTGTTCTAATAAGACTGCTTTTAGCTTGGCCTAGTGGCATAGGCTAATAATCTCAACTACTTGTGAGGCTGATGATGCAGGAAGATCACAAGTTCAAGGTTTGCCTGGCTACAGAGTAAGTTCAAGATCAGCTGGGCAATTTAGCAAAACTGTCACAAAACTGAAAGTAAATAGAGGAGGCTAGAGATACAGTTCAGGGGTAGAGCACTTGTATAAGGAACTAGGTGTGGTCCCCACTAGTGGGGAAGAAAAGACTACGGCTATCACATCTGTAGTTGTTTAGGACTGTAAGGCTGGAGAGACAGCACAACATAAGAGCACGGGCTACTCTTTCAGAGGGCTTAAGTTACATTCCCAGCACTTACATGGTGGCTTACAAATGTAACCCTGGTTCAGGGGATCCAAACTCCTCCTCTATGGGCTTCCATGGGCCTGCATGTATATGGTATACAGACACACATGCAGGCAGAGCGCTAATAGACATAAAATAAAAATAAAGGTAAAAACATTTTCAAAATACCATTTAACTGGTGACACAGACCTTTAGTCTCAGCACATGGGAGGCAGAGGCAGCCTGGTCTATAGAGTAAGTTCTAGGACAGCCAGGGCTATATAGTGAGGCCCTGTCTCAACAAACCAAGGAGGCAAGTTAGCACAGCCCTTTCTCTGTGCTAAGGGCACACCTGTAAGTCCCACAGAGAGCAGAGTTATAACGTTTTCTTATATGGACAAACTTTTGGTTTTTTCTCATAAAGCAGTCTATCTTATTACTGAGAATGTTCTCCATTCTAACAAATGGGCAAGCTCATCTGGACCTGTGTGCATAAGACACTGCTGTGAGATTTCAGCACCACTCACTTCCAAGGTCCAAGTCCTCCTTGATCATACTAGCCAAAGGTTGTTTAATTTAACTTTTAAACGTGTGTATGTATGTGTACCTCTATGAGTTTCTGTGCACCACATGTACACAGGATCTAAAGGAGGCCAAAAGAAAGTATTGAGTTCCTTTGAACTGGAGTTTTAAACAGTTGTGAACTACCAGTAAACCTGGGTCCCATGTAAAAACAGTAAACATTCAGCTGCTGAGCCATCTCTCCAGCCCCTCTAGCTGAGTTGTATAATGGTATGTATGCAAAAGAATAGAACAGTGGTTTTCTTTCTTCAAATCAAACTTAATGAAGTCAATTCTGTTGTTTTCTTGGAGAAAACTGAAGCTCAGGACAGTAACTTTCACAGATCACTGAGCAATGAGATAGTGGAGCTAGGGTTTCAGTCTAGACACCTCCTCAGACTCTGCTTGGCCATTTGTGGTTGGTGTAGTACTTCTAAGCCTTGAGACATGGGGGAATTTATTTTTGGCAGCAGGATCTTGCTATGTAACCCATGTTAGCTGCAAACTTTGATTCTCTTCTAAGTTCTGACTTAGCCTTTGGGACAATTTAGACTCGTATTTGGCATTAAGAGTGCCACCAATAAAACATTTAGTATAAAATCTAGTGTAACACTAGAATACAAAAATGTACATAGAATTATGTATCATTTCCATGAGCATCTCAGAAACCTGGAACTGAATAGAGCTTCCCTGAATGAGATCAGAGGTTGAATGCCTGGAATATTTCTTCTCTAATACCTAGAAACTCAGCCTCCCCCAACCATAAAGGTGTAACCCACTATTTGTTTTGCTTCTTCTACATTTAGGGTGAAGAAATTATCTCTCAGCATCCCTCTTCTCCAGAGAGCACTGCAGAGGACAGTGAGGATGGCATGACATCCTACGTCTCCAGGAACAGAGCAACAGAGGTATCTGCACAGGCTGGTCTGGCATTGGTGGACCATTTTATTAAGTATTCTTTGTTAGCAGAAAGTACAGGATTTTTCTCTATGTATCTGTTGTTAATTCTGTGCCCATCTCCATTCCCTAAAGACAAACAAACAAACAAACAAAAACTTATGAATGTTTGGGATCCATAAAATTCAATTACATCCTCTCAAGGTATGTTGAAAATCTGCATCCTAAGGGCAATTACAGCCCAGTGGTAGAACATGTACTTAGTTAGCATTTGCACGTTTGTGCATTTAGTCCTCTGTACAAAAAACAAAGTAGAGGGTTTTTTTCTTCCATTATATAGCACCCTGGTTTCCATGATCTTGTATATAAAAGTGTTCTAGAACGGAGAAGTAACAAGCATATTCATTGTTAAAATTGAGTTAAACCACTTTAACTTTTGTTTGTTTGACAGTCCTGGCTGGCCTGAAACTATGTAGATCAGGCTAGCTTTAAAATCACAGAGATCTGCCTGCCTGTGCCTCCCAACTGCTGAGATTAGAGACATGAACTACTATGCCAGAGCATGTCAGAGGGGTGTGTGTGTGTGTGTGTTATCTGTCTGACTGTTTTTTGAATGATTACAAGTATTTTTTGGTACATGTGTTTCTGTGTCCCATGTGCATGCAGCACCTGTGGGTGCCAGCAGAGGGTTGTTGTACCCCCCTGGGACTGGAATTAGTGTTGCAAGCCACCATGTGGGTTTTGGGTATTGAACCTACATCCTCTGGAAGAACAGCCAGTGCTTTTAATAACACTGACCGTCAACTTGTTTTAACATATAAAATAGAAACATGAAAGCAGAAGCCTAGAGTCAAGCTGCCAAAACAGAGAAATAAAACAATATGAATCCACATTTGTTCCTGTGGACAAATGCTATTACAGATCTAAAGTAAGCTAAAGAAAATGTGTTTATTGGGATTTGCATTAGTTTTGCATACCAGGCAGTTTAGCTGGAAGCTGTGCACAGAAAGACTGTCCATTGTGAAGTCTGATTCTAAGGCTCTGTGTTAGTCCTGTTATGGACCTCTCCTGCTTACTGTCATAAGGATCTGAGGTGGTCACCATGCTACGCTTCTACTACATAAATGTGTCCTAATAGAGGAACAAATCAGTTTCATGCTGACTCCTGTTGGTATAGGCCATGACTTGTAATAACCTTTGCTTTTTATACACAACACATATACATACTGCCTGTTTATTCCTTTTATGTATGCAGAATCTTGCTATGTAGCCAAGGCTGGCCTTGAACTCACAATCCTCCAGAGTTGTGCCATATGAAGGCTTGCTCTCTATATATTGAATTGATAATATGACTTTGTTTCTGTGTTTTATGCCTGAAGAACTGCTAGAGAACTTTGGTTTATTTAAAGATCATGCAGATTTGCTTCAGTTGTAAATAGTTCAGTATTAAAATGACCTTTTGGGCTGAATGTGGTGGCTTACACCTTTAATCACAGCACTAGGGAAAGAGGGGCAGATGGATCAGATGAGTTCCAGGCCAGCCTGGCCACATAGCAAGTTTTGAGTTACACAGGGTTACACAGTGAGACCCTGTCTCAGTAAACAACCTTTCTCCGTGGCTTTGGGTTATAATTTATGTCAAGAATTATGGAGTATGTATGATTGCTCATGCCTGTAGTCCCAGCATGAGACTACATGGGAGGCAGAGGCAGGTGGATCTCCTGAGTATAAGGCCAGTCAAGAGCCACATAGTGAGATCCTATCTCAAACAACCAAATTTGGAAAGGAAGCTAAGCATGGTAGAATGCACCTGTAATCCCAGCCCTTGGAGGTGCTGGAAAGTGGAGGTGGAGGAAGCTCATGAACTCTAAGTGTGGGCGGTCTTGAGCTACATGAGCTCGTGTCTCAAAGCAAAAAGAAAGCAGGAGGGGAGCATCTGCTCCAGTTTATGGCATGTTCAACTCTTCATGGCTTGTAAGACCGAAATGGAATAGTGCACTTCTGTGAGAGCGGGGTTGCGAGAGCTGGCCTGAAGACCCTTTTTCCTCTTTATCCCTTAGGATGGGGAAGATGAAGCAAGTGATGGGCAGAAGGACCAGGACAGTGATGAAAGTGACGACAGCTCCAGTTAGAGCCGAGCGACACAGCCGCCCTGCTCTCCTGGCAGACTCTACTCATTTTCTCTTTGGGGTTTAAGTCTGGTGTCTGTCTTTCTAGCCAGAAGCATCCTATATGTCCATCAAGAAGGGATGTTAATTGAATTCTCCAGTGGATTTCACAGATTGTCTAACCTCCAGGTCCCTGGCTCAGGAGTGCAGTGTAGCATCCTTCAGTGGTTTGGATGAACATGGCCGAGCCACAGTGCTCTAGCTGGGCCTTGGGGTTTGATGATAAATTTAGGCTTGTAATAGCTTTGTAAATGAATCCCTTTCTGAGTTTTGCCTCAGCTGCCTTTTTCCTCACTTTAGATCTCTCATTATTCAAGGACTAGGGAAGATTGAGTTGAGGTTTGTGCAATCATACTGGTGCCCTAAAAGTGCGTCCCATACAGTTATCTTCCTGGAGGAATGACTCGACCTTCTTATCAATGATTCTGGTTTGGTTTGTGTCAGGGTCTCTTTACATAGCCCTGGCTATTGTGGTATTAGATATGTTGACCAGGAGAGTCTTGAACATTACTTTTGAATTTTTAAACATTTATTTTTGTACACATGTGTATGGGCATATATGTGCCGTTGTACATATGTGGAGGTCAGAGGACAACTTATGGGAGTGAGCTCTCTCCTGGCACCAGATGGGTTCTAGGTTCAAACTCTGGCCCTTCACATGCTTAGCCACTTTACCAGCTCCCTTTCAAAACGTTTGGTTATTAGTATAAAAGGAAGGAAGACATCATCAACATGTGCTGGCTTTGTATGTATATATAGTATTTATTTCCACATTATTCTCAATTATGCCTAGAATCTACTTGTAAGAATCATACAAAATAATTGTAATATATTTGAAATAGAACACCAGGAGCTAAAACAGGGGACTCTTCTGTCTTCTGCCAGGAAGCCCAGTCTCAGAGCCGTTGCCAGGCTCTTCCTTGCTGTGCCATTAAGATTATTTAATGTTTGTTAATGTTTTTACTCAGACCAGTATTAAAGTTATGTTTTATTGGGTTGTTGTTTTGTTTTTTCTTCTTCACATTGGTTTGAGGAGGGAATGCTGTTTTTAAATTAGTCCTTAACCCATGTACAAATTTTTGACCCCTTCATCCTCTGGTACCCAGAGATCCATACCTGTCTTTTCTTGGCCTCCCTTTCTTCACCAGCTCATCATTGTCTTTGGTATTTGAGTTGTGCTCACACTAGGCTGGCTTATTTATATGATAAGGTAATCATTATCACATGTGCACATCAAGTTAGGTTAACTTTTAAATGGCCATTCAGCTTTATAGAGTGGGAATGTTCTTCCTTGCTCAGTGTCATAGGTCCTATTTCTGAACAGCAAGGGAGAAGGGGATCTCTTGAATTGTCACAGCTTGACCTAAAGGCGAAATATCTGGCATGATATCAGTTTGATTTATGTGGATAGGTCTGTGCAAGCTTTGGGTACATACCAGAGAGCATGGTGTTGAGGACAGGGGTCCAACGGGGACCCTTTACTTGGAGTGCTGCAAGGCAAAGGTACACTTCTTGTAAGTTGCATACAGCAAGAGGATTGAGCGTAGCATCTGTTTGCACATAGTCACTGTCATTTGGATCTGAGGCTCCTTGAGTCCAGTAGGCCACTGGTGCTCCCTGCTGATTATTTTGCAGAAGGCTGACTTGTCTGAAACTCTGAAGGTTCCGGTCCACTTGGGTGGCTGGGCTGTGATGACCCTACCAAACACAGAATCCACTCCACTGAGGCGGACCGGCTGGGGCCTCCTCACCACCCCTTTCTTGTTACTCACGGCTTGGAGCTCTGATGTGTGACAGGGTAACTTGGGGCTCTCTCCAGGTTCCACAAGTGGGCTGTCTAGGACAAGTGTGACTTCTTGAAGGCACAACTGCACTTCAAGGTCAGAAGGGGTGTGGGGGAAGCAAGGAGAGGCCCTAAAAGGATGTTTGGAGGAAGGGGTAGGTGTAGTATGCCGCAGCCATTGGAAACTCTCATCCAGTGGGGTCCATGGTGACCAGAGCTGGTAGCCTGCCATTGACAGTCCTAAAGAAAGGAATCAGACATGGAATTTCCCTGCTGTGCTTTGGGGGAGGAGAGAGGCATGGCTGTACAAATTCACTGCTGTCTCATTACTGACAAGCTTAGTGGTTCTTGCACACCAGATGCCACCTGACGGGTCAGAAGGTCTAGAAAAGGGCAAGACACTGAATTTGGCAACTGCTGTGCATACTAAAATTTCATTAAACCTTTCCAACCAAGCCCCAGTAAGAAAGTTAACCCATTCTATAGATGATCCAGATTTGTCTGAAATGGGATATTTTAATCCATGTCTTGGGGTAGGGCCTGGGAGACAAAAGTGGCTGGACTTCATGACAAGACATTATTTGAGGAGAAGAAAATCACCTATGTCTTACAAGTATTTGAAATTGGTACTTCGTCAGAGCTCTCAAAGTATAACCCTTGAACTAGCAGTTTTAATATTATTAAGGTTGATAAAAATGCAAGCTCTTGGAGCCCCATCTCAGACCTACTGAATTAGAAATGTGGGGTAGGGTCCAGAAGTTTGCACATATACAAATCCCCCAAAGATTCTGTTGCACCTTACAGTTTGCAGACTACTTACAGTGTGACTTTTAAATAACCTCCAGTTTTCACTATACTTATGGAGACATACAGCATAAAACATTCCCTGGATTGGTGGTTTATTTATGCCTACTATATTCTTAACACCTGGAAGGTAGAGGTAGGAGGATCATTACAAGTTGGAAGCAAGATTGTTTCACATAGTGAGTTCCAAGCCTGTCAGAACTCATACATGGTGAGACCCAGCTCCCTGTTCCCTGCCCCTACCAAGTACTGTAGAGCTGGCTCAACAGTTAAGAATACTTGCTACTATTTCAAGGAACCTGAATTTGGTTCCCAGCTGCCGTGTGGGACATCTTACATCTGTCTATAACTACGCTTCAGGGGATCCACCAGGGGGTTGTCTATCTCTACCAGTACCTGAACATACAGATAGACAGACAATAAGTCTCAGGCAAGTAATCTCTGAATTCAAGGACAGCCAGGGCTACCTAAGGAGACCCTGTCCAAAACAAAACAAAAAACAAAGACTTAACAGCAGAAAATCCAACCCCAAAACAAAAATATTACTGGGACAGTCTCTTGGCCCTAAAAGCATTCTATAGAAGAGAACTCTAAGAGTGCTGGGCAACATACACAGCCCCATGGAAGAGATACATCCCATAAGGGGGAGTTCAAAGGCTAGCCTTTAAAATTTGTTCACTTACTCCCCCATATAAAGGTATATGTTTTTATACTTAAGATACCCACTGAATAATACCTTGAATTCTCCTTATGTGCTGGGAGCATATTTTCTCTTTTTTTTTTTTTTTTTTTTTTTGGTTTTTCAAGACAGGGTTTCTCTGTGTAGTCCTGGCTGTCCTGGAACTCACTCTGTAGACCAGGCCGGCCTTGAACTCAGAAATCCACCTGCCTCTGCCTCCCAAGTGCTGGGATTAAAGGCGTGCGCCACCACGGCCCGGCTGCTGGGAGCATATTTTAACTCAAAATTTATTCAAGTAGAATTTTGGTTTTCTGTCATTCTACTTCCAAATTGACAGTGTCTACTGAATTCAAGAGAAGCTAACAATTTTTTTAGCACCTTCCTCTTATGTGAAGGGCTGTTACAAGTCTCATTTCTGTATAAGTTGCATGCTGTGACCCATCTCAACTCTTTGGCCCCACCAGGTAAGTCCTTTTTTTTCAGCCAAGTCTAAATCTTTGTTTCCTCAACAGCAACACAGACTGTCAGTCATTACTGTCACCAAAAGGTTGACATCTCCACAGTGAGGTTCAATACATATATACATATACATATACATATATGTGTAACATTTCAAAATGAAAATGTCCTTTGATAATGATTAGGACAAAGTTAATTTGCTGATTTTCTCAGTCTATGCAGTCCCTTTGCAAGTTGCTATGTTTCATATATCTTGAGCTACCTTAGGAAGAGAAACTGACACGGAGTACAGCTGTCTATTCCAAACTGCAAACTTATGAAAGGCTTCCAGTGCTAGATATCTTGAATTTAAGAGCATACAGTCAATGCTGTCATCTCAGGACTTGAGAGGCTGAAGCAGAATTGCTATGAGTTCAATAACTGCCTGGGCTGCATAGGGACCTTGTCTGAAAAAAATAAAACCTAGAGGGGGTGTCTGGCACACCACCATGGCAAAGTGGATTGAGAGTATTAATGCCTCTAAATATTTTTTTAAATCCATTTATAGACTCATCTCAAAAAAAAAAAAAAAAACAGCAAAAGAAAACAGATCTTTGTCCAATGTCCAGCCTAAACCAATAGGGATGGGAGGGCTTTGGACTCCAGGTTTTCCTACTCCTTCACACAAGGTTTCAGTAAAAATGGTTCTGCCCCAGTCCCCAGCATCACAAGGAGTAGGGGTAGGGGGTGAACTAGGATTCTATACAAGCTGTTCTTCTGGCCCAAATAGGGAACACTTGGTTCCCTTGTCCAAAAAGGCATCGATTTTTTATTGGTGCCTTCCTGCTAAGGAACCCGGATCCTCGATTTCCCCACCTGGGAAAGGGGATGGCAGCGCCAAAGTGCAGCTGAAGTCCTCGTGAACTGTGAAAAGATCCCGAGAGGCTGGAGTGCTTGGAGAACAGGCTTGTCTCCCTGGAAGTCCCTCCCCTGGAGCGGGAGCCACACGGCCCTGGTCAAGGCCAGGGCAGCGGTGGGAGCCGGGGCCCGGACCCACCATCACCGTCCGGGCCGGGGGCTCACCTACTGAACTCCACGCGGATTGCACGCTCCAGGGTAGCTGCCGCATCTTTTCTCCACCGAGCGCCTAGCAACCGCCTTTGTGACTCAGGACCCCGGAGGAAGGGGCCGGGCGGGGGAGGGCGTGGGGCAGGATGTAGCTGGAGGCGCCCTTCTGGAAGGCCTCTGATGTAAGACAGCTCCAGCCACACCTTCAGTTCCTCCCTACCCCTGCAGTACACCCGTGTGCATTTGACAGGAGCATAGAGGACAACCCCCCTCCCCCTACATCAAAGGCTGTGGTCAAGTTCCAGGACCTGTAGTTAGTGTTAAGTTAATCTTTGTTCATTATATTCTGGCTCACACTGTGCTCCAGTGTTTGGAACGGTTTTATTACCGCCCTGGAAAGCCTCCAGTGCAAGAAAAGAGAATTATAAATGTTCACCTGTTAAGAAAAGAAGAAAAGAAAAGGAAAAAGAAAAGAAAAGAAAAGAAAAGAAACCACAACTTCCCTTAACTTTCTGACTGGAAAACTTGTCTTCTCTAACTTCAAAAGATCATTTTTAAGTTTATGTTTGCCTGTGTGGGTTTATGTGCAATATATCTGTGCAGGAGACTGTGGGGCCAGAAAAGGACCACTAGAAACTGGGTCCTCTATAAGATTATCAAGTACTGAACTGCTAAGCAGTCTCTCCAGCCTAATTACTTCTGTCTTCTGTTAAACCTCAGGATGCTGCTGTCTTGTGTCCAACGCTGAGACGCGCATGGTTTACAATGGCAAAAGTATGCTGTGAGCAGTGTTTTTATTAGTGTGAATGGCTGTGGAAGGCAGGAGTTGCCCCCAACCAAGTAACTAAGTGTCTGGAGGGAGGATTGATGAACTAACAGCGTACTGTTATTTTCTTTTTCTTTCTTTCTTTCTTTCTTTCTTTCTTTTTTGTTGGTTTTTTCGAGACAGGGTTTGTCTGTGTAGCCCTGGTTATCCTGGGACTCACTCTGTAGACCAGGCTGGCCTCGAACTCAGAAATCCACCTGCCTCTGCCTCCCAAGTGCTGGGATTAAAGGCATGCGCCACCACCACCCGGCTGTTATTTTCTTTTTCGAAAGATTTATTTATGTATTTTATGTATATGAGTACACTGTCTGTCTTCAGACACACCAGAAGAGGGCGTCAGATCCCATTACAGATGGTTGTGAGCCACCATGTGGTTGCTGGGAATTGAACTCAGGACCTCTGGAAGAGCAGTCAGTTCTCTCAACCACTGAACCATCTCTCTAGCCCATGCTGTTCTTTTGTTAAACACACAATTAGTCTTGTATTTCCTTTATTGTAGAACACTTAATTCAATAATTTAAAAATTTGTTGGACAAGCTGAGCATTTTGGTACACACTTGTAATCTCACCACTCGTGAAACTAAGCAGGAAGCCTAGCCTGGAAAACACAGAAAAGCACAATGGGAAAACCACTCTAGGTTTGGAAGCCCTACAGAGTCGTCAGGCGCCTGTCCAGTGCCCACTGTGGACACGTGGACACCCACGACAGAAGGAGTGAACAAGAATCTGGACAGAGATCAGGAACCAGGGACAGCAGAAAAGGGTAAGACTTGGAAGACAGGCGAGTGCTTTTTGAACTTACAACTTTTTCTCTGTCTGTTTTTTTCTTCCTCCTGATTAAGAGGTAGCTGATGTTTAAAAGGCAGATGAAACTGTAGTTACTGCACATCATTTTCATTAAATATGGAAATCCCCAAAGCCAAGATCAGATGATTAGAATTATTGGATAAAGGGGTATTCGTACTGTTGTGACAATCTGTACACAGTCCTCTGTGCAGTCTGCCCAGATCTGGGGGGACATGTTCTGGGAGGTACCATTTGCTATTAGCACCACTGGGATCCAGCAAAGCCAGAGTCTCCCTACGTTAACCAACTGCAGTGAAATACCAAAGCCAGCCTTCTTAGGAAGAAAGAAACACACACATGTACAGTACACTGCACAACAAAACATGGCCCCTGGTCCTGGCCAATGGAAAGAACATATGTATGGAGAAAGAAATCGCACAGGGAACAAGAAGCAGAAAGAATGGGCTGGGCTGGGCTAGGTTCAGGCTTCTGTAACATCTGGCTCTGGAAAACCAACTCCAGGAACTGCCATTCCGTTCTCAAGATGCTACAACCCCCCCCCCAACCCTGAAAAGAAACGTTTAAGTTAAAATTTTAAAAATTTCATACCTTGGCACTGGGTGGTTGTGGGGCATGCTTTTAATCTCAGCACTCTAAAAACAGAGGCAGGTGGATCTCTGAGTTTGAGGTCATCCTGATCTACAAAGATATAGTGCCATGGTGTCTTAGTTAGGGTTTCCATTGCTGTGAAGAGGCACCATGACTAAGGTAACTCTTATGAAGGCAAACATTTAATTAGGGCTGTCTTACAATGTCAAAGGTTCAGTCCATTATCATCATGGTGGAAAGTATGGTATCTAGCAAGCCAACTTGGTGCTGGAGAAGCCAAGAGTTCTACATCTTGATCTGAAGGCAGCCAGGAGGAGATTATCTTCTACAGGAAGCCAGGAGATACCGCACTGGGCAGACTTTGAACACTAGGAACCTCAAATCCCACACCCACAGTGACTCAGCACTCCAACAAGGCTACACCTCCTAATGGAGCCACTTCTCCATGGGCCAAGCATTCAAACATTTATGCAGGCCAAACCTATTCTAACCACTGCACATGGATTGACTATACCATTGCTTGGCCTTACTGCAATTTTTATAGCTGATATTAACTCAGGGCCAAATTCTTTTTTTTTTTTTTTTTAGTTTTGTTTTTTGTTTTTCGAGACAGGGTTTCTCTGTATAGCCTGGGCTGTCCTGAAACTCACTCTGTAGACCAGGCTGAAAAAACCGGTGTGGTGGCTTATGTCTCCCCCTCCCCTTCCCTTCTCCCTCTCACTCGGGTCCTGCTCCAGTCGAGCTCTGGCCCTGCTCCCACCGCCCCAAAGGCTTTTATTTATTTATTATATGTAAGTACACTGTAGCTGTCTTCAGACACCCCATAAGAGGGCATCAGATCTCATTACAGATGGTTGTGAGCCACCATGTGATTGCTGGGATTTGAACTAATGACCTCGGAAACACAGTTAGTGCTGAGCCAGCTCACCAGTCCCTGCCTTAGACTCTTGAGTGCTGAAATTACAAGCATGTATGACAATGACCAGTTCCTTTAACGATTTTCTTAATGAAGTGATCCGGTGAAAAGGTTGGAGATTGTTTTTGCAGTTTTTGATAGAAATTGCATTAGTTTACACCGTGACTTACCGTTTTGCTTCAGCCAGTCCATCACTGGATATTAACATTAAAGGTGTACTTTGCTCCTTTGGTAAATAGAGATTCAGAGTCGGTGGATGCCTCGATCAATAAAGACACTTGCCACCGAGCCTGATGACCTGATGTCCCACAAGATAGAAGGTAAGGAACCCACTCCTGCAAGTTGTCCTGTGACTTCTGCCCGAGTGTTGTGCCACGTAGGCGCTCACACTCTCATAATACGAATAAAATAAATAAAATAATTTTAACCTGACGGTGGCGGCCCACACCTTTAATCTTAACACTTCAAAGGAAGAGGCAGGTGGATCTCTTTGAGTTCGAGGTCAGCCTGGTCTACAGAGGGAGTTCAGGAACAGTCAGGACTACACAGAGAGACCCTGTCTCGAAAAACAAACAAACAACAAGTTTTAAAAGAAAACGAGAATAAACAGAGTTGTGACCCAAGCATGAAAAGCATTTTGAATAAACGGGATTCGTGGGCTGTGCCCATTTCTGCTGACAAGGTGCAAGAGAGCTTGGAGCAACCGTAGGCAGAGGCAGGAACGCCCCCTAGCGACAAGACCCGCTAGTGATCAGCGGGTGCTTACAGCCGGGGACAAAGTAGCTCTCAGTCTTCACATCGCCAGTGGAGGAGTCTTGTTTTCCCCAGCGTGGGAGCCAAGCTAGAGCGCAGGGTGAAGGGAGTTAGTGTGCGCATGCGCGCCGCTATGCCGGGCCTTTCTGGGGCTCGAACACTTAGGTGCAGGCTGGCAGCGCAGGCGCGCTGGAGGCCTGTGGAGGTCGCAGCGCCTGCGCAGTCACTCTTCCTTAGGCGGCCGCCATGGCGGGACAAGAGGATCCGGTGCAGCGGGAGATTCACCAGGACTGGGCGAACCGGGAGTACATTGAAATCATCACCAGCAGCATCAAGAAAATCTCGGACTTTCTCAACTCTTTCGGTCAGCGGGCGAGCAGGGGAGGCTGGGAGGAGGGAGGCATCGGAGGCGGCCGGCGGCGCTGAGGAGAGGCGCGCCGCCCCGGCTACTCGCTTCCTCTTTCGCTCCCCGCCGGCCCCTGTCCCCTCACCCTGATTCTCACTAGGCCGTTGCCGTGGGTCTACCCTGCCCACTGCCGTGCCCTACTTGCGCACGTCAGCACGCCCACTGCCCAGCCTCTTAGGCCCATCCATCATCCGTCCTGGTTTGCGCTGCGCTTCCTTGCCAGTCTCCACTTGGCACGCAGTGCGCAGCCGTGTCACGGTCACGCTTACTGTTATGAGACTCCTGGTAGTTGTCCATCTCCTTCACGAACAAGTCCGAAACCCCTTAGTGTCATGCCTTCTATTGCTCCTGTTTAACCATTCCTCTGCCGTTCATTCATCCCTGGCTCCCATCGGTGCTAGTGCTGAGGGTTGTAAGGGATGGTGACCTCTCGGACCTTGGAAATGCCTTTTGTAGCCCTGTATCTGCTTCATGGTAGATGTTCTGGATGCTTCTGTCTGGTTCTTCGGATTTAACAGGGCAGATGCTTTCAGCAGAGTCCACTTTTCCAAAAACTATTCCTAGGTGTGGCCAGCTGGTGACAGTCTTGATTTCTTTCTGCATTTGTTCCTAGCCTTCTGGACTGAAAACTTGCCACAGACTCCTTATGGTCTCTGGAAGGGTTCCTTCAGGGACTTTCTTACACAATACAAGATGTGCAGATGGCATCCAGTGATCTTTTTCAACTAGAGTACTTTGGTTCTACTAATTAGCAACTTTCAGCATCTTTGGGAGAGAGTGCTATATCTTGAAAAAAAAAATGAAAACGAATCGA